CTGTTTCAGAGAGTGCGAACAGTTTTGATATTCAGTGGATCTCTACTGAGGTAGTCCTGAGGTTTCCCAGGGGGAAGCTCTTCCCACATAGTGAAATTTACCAGGATGTTGATTTCTTTTGGCCATTTGTCCTCATCCTCCAGACACTAGAGTAACACCTACCAGGTGTGTTCATGGAGTACCTTCATGAGAAGGCTATTGTCTAGAGAATCAGTAATCTGAGTATTTCCTTTACATGATAATTCTCTCTGCAACAACAGAACAAGGAAATCAGGCATTGAAAAATACTGATGAGTCAACTCTTTTTCTTCAATCTAGCATATAAGAGGTTGAAGAAAGAATTCGTGTTCTAGTTGTCCTGTCACTCCTGCTACACAAGATCGTTTAGTCAGAGGTGAGAGTGAAGTATTAAGCAATGAATATGTAGCCCAGTATTTATTAGAAAGCTTTGGCCAGCTTTCCATAGGTAAGGAGAGGGTAGACTACCCTTTGGACTGGGCATCCCTAAAACCATTGTACCAAATAGTTTACTGTCCATAAAGGGATTATAGTCAAGAACCAAGTATTACCTGTGGACAATGTTGTGCCCATCTCAGGTTGGAAGAGTGGGCTGAGATCTGCATTTTCTCCCCCAGAGTCTCAAGGTCAGATTCCAGTGGCAGGTGGCATCCCTTAACAAGCACACACCCACTTTTTCCCTTCAATTCCTGAGTTTCAGACTTACCTGTGCCTGGATGACTCTTTTAGCTTTTGTGTCACCAAGTCCTCTTGCTAACATGACCTCCCAGTCTGCCTTGAGTTTTACTACTGACCATTAATTCACCCTCAGAGGAATCTGGGGTGTCTTCCAGAATCTTTTCAGGAGTATGTGAGGAGGTTTAACATTGGCCTCCACCTGAAGGGTGGCAAACTAGAGCTTTCTTTAAGCCAAGAGCAGAGGAAGGCCACAGGTTTATAAAAGAGCCACCAGTGACACAGCAGGGGAAAAATCAATTTGAAACATTTTATTTGAATTGAGAAAGTTCCAATTCAAAAAAGACAATAAAGAGAGCAGGTAGTCCCGTTTGTACCACAATCAGAAATGGTCCAGTTTGGCCATTCCTTGTGAAAGAAAAAAACACATTGCTAAAGGGTGGCAGCAGTTACACATACATAGTCTGTCATCTTATCTTAGCAACAAAAAGCCAAGAGGTATGAGGAGTGAATTAAAGACACAGAGGAAGGAGTGAAAATGTCAGGCAGTTAGAAAAAGAGGCTAGGATTTTAAAGGACAAAGTTCACTCCTGTTTTTCTTTGCTTCATTTTCAAAGGAGTAACTCATAACCTTGAGTAGTGATCTCAAAAGCCATAACAAAATATAGCTTCAGGGAGGCAGAATAAAATACAGAGCAGCAGATTTAACATTATTCTAGCAGAATAACTGATGTTTGTCACTTTCAGCAAAACACAGCAATCTGATGAGGTTTTAAACAAAGTCTTAAAAAAAACTAACACTTGGAGATTCCCTTTTCAGTTTGGCCAACCTGTTCGCATTCAAAATTTTTCTAAATTTACCTTTCCAAGTATTATCCCTTACATAGACTACTTTTAACATGCTGAAGCTGTTTGTCAGAAAATTTTCTTCTTGGATCAGCATCTGTACTTCAAGCAGCTAAGGTGCCACCCATATCCACCGGAGCTGGCAGGTTTGAACCAGCAGGGCCCACCAAACAAGGACAACTACAACCAAGAAAATATTTGAGTGTGGTGGTGGGTGCCTATAATTCCAGCTACTTGGGAGGCTGAGGCAAGAGGATTGCTTAGCCCAAGAGTTTGAGGTTGCTGTGAGCTATGATGTTACAGCACCCTACCCAGGGCAACAGCTTGAGACTCTGTCTCAAAAAAAAACCAAAAAAACCCCCAATATTTTCTTCCTAAACCATCAGGTATTTTAAGAGAAATAGTGTTATTAGGTTTTGTCCAACACAAAATCATTATCTTTTCTTTTAGTGTTCCTTACCACCCATGTTTCTTCATATTCATCAGATTCTTCATATCTCTCTACTACATACTGGTTCCTTTTTAAGTTTTTTTTCCCATTTTTAATAGAAATGTGATCCCAGTTAAGTCTTTTCTATTTAAAGGTCTGGGAAGGGGGCCTGTGGTTTTACAAGATTTAGGTCTCTAGCTTAAAGTGCAGACTTCATCAAACAATGGGGTAGGCCAGCTGGAAAGCACTAAAAAAAATAAACAAGGCATCATCAATCAGGGAGCAGAGAGACTTTAGAGTACCCTACAGGTTTGTATTTTAACTTCCATTTTTAAGAAAGAAATAAGAGAAGGAAACAGAAGCCCTGAATATTCGGGAAGAGTAGAGGGGTAGCTCTAACTGCTATGAACATCAGTTTGTTTACTGTGACACAGAGAGATAGCTACCTAACAGCCAGACTTCCCAGCATCTGACAGTAAACCTGAAGCTGGAGCATGTCTGCCAAACTAAATGAGTTCCAGAGAATCAGAGCTGGTTTAGGGATTTCACAGGGTCCAGAAGGCAAGTTTAATCCGCCATTTCCAGGAGATGGAAATGTTACTTCCAGGACATCTCTCTAGTTCTCAGGGGATGGTCCCAGCAGAGGCTGCTTCCTGAGCCATTCCTGACTCCAGGACCCCATACTCATTGTGCAGGAAGGGCTCTGGCCTGGTGTCTTCTTGCCTGACCCTAGAGTAACTCTGTTCCTAACAATCTTCTTCCCTAGTGGTAGCAACCATTTCAAAAACTTCCTTCTGCTCTTGAGGACTGATGCTGGCCTGGCTTTCCCTTGCTGTCTCTACATCCCAATCCTCCTTATCAAGACCTTAAAAATCTGCTTTAATGTTCTGCTTGTGGAGCTAGAGGACCCTTTCTATGCTGTTGAATATCAGGCCCAAATGGGGGATGATGTGCATTGTGGAGATGAAAAAAAAAAAAAGAAGAAGAAGAAGAAGGAAATGGAGCAGGGGCAGGTAAGGAGCTACATTACCTGGAATGCAAAAAGAGTGAGAGCTGTAAGTGTAATAAGTAATATGGATCAGGCAGCGTGGATTCAGAATGTCTAATGTTCCATTACCTTATCTTGCTGAAAATGTACACTTTCCTCCCAGATTTTGGCACTAAAATGTCACCTGATGAAGAGATGTCAAGTGTGTGTCCCTGGTTTTTGCTTCTAGGTGACGAGGCATAGTTACTGGTACCAACACAGTGGAGAAATGTGCAGAAAAAGTAGACACAAGTGAGCAAA